GGAGATGTAAGCAGGCCCCAGGCACCCTTATGCATTTGCTAAGGTCCTGCCCCAAGGTTCAGATGTGGTGGACAGCAATTCATGAAAACATTAAACTAATCATGGGTCAAGACATTCCTTTCCGACCTAGTTTGTATGTTCTGGGGGACCCTGCCCCTTTTAAAGGGCATTCCTGAATCACATACAAAATGAATCCATACAGCCATCATGCTGGGTCGTAAACTACTTAATAGGGAATGGAAATCAGAAGATCTCCCCCCATCTAGCTTGTGGTTCACTTATTTAGGTACAGTAGCAGCATATGAAGAGTTGTCATATAGGATGATACAACAGCTTGACACATACCATGCTAAATGGGGAAAATATATTGATTTTATTAAAGGGCCATGATCTTTAAGAAAGCTGCCTTTTATAGGTCCACAGTACACCCCCTTGACTAAACTGTGCACCTACCAAGTTAGATCTAGTGCGATGTGGTGAAGTAACCTTTACTCCTGCTGTCTAAAACCACCATTGAAGACTATAATTATTAGACAACTGAATGCCTTTGAACGTTTTTTTTTTTTTTGTTATGTGGTACCTGTGTTGTACACTGTAGGTGGATATCCTGTTTAGGTGTCTGTATTGTTTTGTTTGTTACTGTAATGTATTGTCCTGAAATATGGAAAATAAAAACTTTGGTCATAAAAAAAAGGATTTGTTTGGAAAACGTGTTAAGTATAGGACAGTTGTTTTGTCGGTGAACCTTGTGAGCTGTAATCGAACCGAATTTTGTAACATTACCTTTGTTAAATGTTGCCATTGTTCCTGGTTTAATATGGGTAGAGGAAAAGTTTGCTAGCCATTAGGCTAATTTATACAATGTAAAATGCCATAGGTTTGTGCTAAAACATTAGCATGTTGTATTTGTGGGGAAAATGTGTCCAGCAAAAGACAAGTGCTTTGTCTGTGAATGCTGTGAGTTATAATGAAACTGGTTTGTGTACTTGTCTTTGAGATTGTCGCTATTAAGCCATGTTTAATGTGTGTTTTGGATGTGTTTTAAATCAACTAAACTTTACAGCACTTTACAGAAACCCCACCGCAGACTAATGTCTGCAGAGTGACACAGACACACCACCGCACAAGTATAATTGGTCACATAGGCCACAATTTAGGCTATGCATAGAGCTGACACACAAGTATAAATCCACCTTTTACTGGGCGAGCATGTTTACAAAAGTGACTGACAGTTCTTTTATTGATCAATTGCATCCAATTCTGTACATTTCTAAAGATTATAACCTGACACTGATTTTTATCTTTCTGAGCTGTTTTTCTTCATTGATCCCACTCTATTCGAGCAAATATTTTCTGATTAAAAACAATGGAACATTTCCATCTGTTTTTTCAACCACCCAAAAATCTAATTTTCACCAAAAGACAAAGAGCTTTAAGGTGCAAGGTGAGTTTGATGAATCCTTTACACTGCATATTATTATCATAAGTGTAGGCCAACTTCAATACGTTAATTTGTATAACCCAAGACTTTAACTTGGCTTTATTTAAAGGCTGCACACACATCAAGAAACAAAAATTGTAATAATTGATTGATTAATAAAAGAATAAAATATTTTTTTTAAAGTATATCACTTTACTGGTGCTGTCTAATCAGCTCCACTACAAACTCAGCAGTTTGTTTGCTTAAAATTGGATGTGCTATTATAAGCTTTAATTTCGTAGCCAGTTACAGTACGTATTCTAAGTATTTGCATATAAGGTATAACCTGATTGTTCTGTGTGTCTGTACACCACAAACATCCGTACTTGCCAGCGAATTGGTACAGGACGTTCTGTTTCCTCTGTGTTTGATCAACACATCCTTGGCAATGGCTATCACACCTGAAGCCAGGGGCATAAATACAGACAGTGCAGGCAGTGTGATTGCACCGGGGCCCCTGGGGTACAGAACCCCATAAAGAGAGTGGACCTTTGCAAGTGATTCAGATTGCGACCTTGGAAATTTACCTGTGTTTAAAGATAAATTATAAAAAAGATTATTATTAATTTAAAAACGATGCCATTTGCTATATGTCTTCAAAAAGGCAAACCCATCTGTGTAATGCTTTTCTTTTGTCTTTTAACTTTTTTCGATAGTCAGTAGCTATGTAAAACATAATTCTATGCTTTTTCTATACACTATAAAATCTAGAAATACACTATAAAAACTATTCAATTAAATTATTAATTCTTAACATTTTTTCTTTTGACATTTTTGTTAGATATGTAATGATGATTGCTGGGTAATATGTATGTAGATGTTGTCCATTCTCAGGTCTCTATTCGTGTCAAGACAATACATGCACTAGGGCCCGTAGTGTGCACAGGGGCCTGTCATGACTCATGACTTGAAGTGACCTGAAGTACTTACTCTAACCTACACAACTCATCATGGGTTTATTTGACTTATAGAGATCGAAAGTTTGATTAGAGAACAAAGGAATGCCTCAGTCCCTTTAGGCAAAAGTGTTGTAGGGTAAAAAAGAGGCATATGAAGTCTTTCTGGACTTTGATGCCAGCAATGGAGGTGCACACTGCATCCAGAAAAAAACAAGGCAATTATCCATTGATTTTACTGTTAGAGGACGCTGATTTGTAGATTGGTATGCCCCTACACTTAACATACATATTGTTGGTCTCACAAAAATATTCCCTTTGTTCTTTAAAATGTTCTACTTATACAATACAATCAGAAGTGTTCCTGTGATGTAAAGAAGATAACTGCTGTTGATGTACAACACATTTTTATTGAAACTATAAAAATAAATCTACATGACCTTTATAGCATTAAAAATGACACAGCTGGTGATGATAATAACATTTCTGAATGTTTTTTTTCCCCTGTCAGGTAAGTCAGTGTGTGGCATGCCAGGCCAGTAGTGTGATAATTAAACAGCAGGAGGAGTACAGGTCAATAAAGGTAACATTTGATGTTTAATGTTTTTGTATCATCTTTTACTTATTGACAAAACAGGTTGAAATCAAAATATTAAAGACAATAATACAACTAATGTCACTGAATAGTAACCCAGCCATTTGAGCTGATTGCATGGATTTGGTAGGAAATCTGAAAAGCACTGCACAGTGGCTGCAGGCAGTAAAAAAGTGCAGAAGTGCTGAGGAAGTTTTTCTATAGGTTTGTAGGGCCTAAACCAATTCTAAATGATCAAGGGAAGACGTTTGTGAAAGAAGTATTAAGGACTACTGAAATGCAAAAGTTATACACAACATTTACAATATAGGTCAGGATTTATTTAATGCATATGACAGTTTTGATTTTTTTCCCCTATATGTTTCTTAATACAGACAAATAAAATATTCTGCATAGTACTCAGCATTGAAAGAAATCTCTGTGCCCCTTTATCATCTGCAGACATGGCTTAGTTGAAAGGACGAGTAAGACCATACAGAGGTATAATGTCCATTTCCACTTTTTATATGTATAGTTAATTTTACTTTAGATCCTAAAAAAAATATGCTTATGCACAAATTCTTTGTTCTTTGTCTTTTTTTTTTTTTTTTTTTTTTTTTGCTTCTTTTTTAGGCCACTGTCCAAACTGGTGAAAGACAGACCTGACAAATGGGACAAACATTTGGACGCCATCATGTTTGGCTTGAGGACACACAGTCAAATGACAACAAAGTTTACACCTTCTCTTTATCTCTTTATTGTCTGGAAGAGAGGCAAGGTACCCCTCTGGAATCCCTGCTGAATACAGGGTGAGTTACACTTACAAACATATTTTAGAAATGTTAATAATAATAATAATAATAATAATAATAAATACATAGCACCTTTCAAAGGAGAAATGCAGCACAAAGGTCTTTACAACAAGGGCATTATAAGCACTGAGTGCTTAACATGACAATTGACATAGTAAACATAAAACAAGGCAATTCAATATAAAAGGAAAGTTAAAATAGTCTAAAACAAAGATTAACTGATTCAACAATTTTCATATATGAGTGGGGGTAATTTGAGATTCTATTCATTGAAATCTCATATAGTTTTTTCTCTTGTGTCACCTTTTAGGCCCTCATACGTCATTAACAATCAGAGCCTATAATTCCCAACAGGCACAGACTCACCAACAGGCATTGATTAACCAAAACAAGTGTCTTTCAGCTTAAACTAACTAAAACATAAAATAAAATTTAACAAAGAAAAGGCAGGGCTACCCCTAATTTCTATGTGGGCATGAAAGGTTGAAGGTTGAATGTGAGGAGCCAGTAGAGGAAAAGGGTGCAAGCGAGATCCAAACTCCTTTGCATCCTGCACTACAGTCGCTATTGTAGGAAAAAGTGTGGATCTTGTGGACAGCCAAGGTAGATCCACAACATCATCACCTTTCTGGATTAGTTCTGGACTGTGTTTCACCCCCCACAACACGGGAATAGCAATTTGCTTTGATGACAAATCTGTCATCAAAGTTTCCTGAGTTTCCTGAGTTTCCTCTAAACTTGAGTGCCAAACCTCCTATACTGAAGAAACAAACACAGAGACACACAATACAAACCACACCAAATGGTACAGACCACAGGCAGATTTTCTAGAATACTGCTGTATCTTTGGACCTTTTTTAGGTGGTTTCTGTTTCTTTTTCCTTGTTTCATGTATTCATTCATGTTTAGTCTGTTTCCCATTTTATTTTTTAGGTTCACTCCCCATGTGTCCACCTGTCCCTCACTAGTCCTGGGGTTCATCCCAATACCTGATTTCACATCCACGTTTCCCTCACTTGCGTCTCTTCCTTGCATCTTGGCTCTGCCCTCATAAGGCACAGGGGAGAGATGAGAGGATGAGACATGAGGAGAGAAGAAACAAGGAAATATGTCTTTAGAGAATTTTGTTATTCTATTTATTTACTTTGATTAGGAAGTCCCATTGAGACTGAAAATCTCTTTTACAAGAGAGACATGGCCGAGGTAGCAGCCTATCAGAACACATTTAAAATGCAACAAATACAACATGTAATACAGAAATCCACAATAAAACAACTATTCAAACAAAGTGGCCTCTCAAGAATTACAAGGACATGTCTCTATCACCACATTCCCTTGAATTCATCCACGGATACAAGTGTTTCTAATTTTAGATCTTTTTGAAGATTGTTCCATGTCTGAGGTGTAGGAGAATGCAGGTTTCCCCAGATCTGTGAAAACCTGGGGTACATTTAAAAGCACCCACTTGGAAGAGCGTAGCTGGTAACTACCAGAGCTGACACACAGAAGCGGGCAGACGTATAGGCTGGAAGTTTGCCCAATATTGCTTTATACATAAAAATATACACTCCAAAAACTACATCATATCATAACTAACTATGTAAGGAGCCAGAGAAAAAAGACATTGATCAGGTCAGTGTGTGCCTGCCTGTCGCCCAATATCAGCTGGGATAGGCTCCAGGGAGAACATAAGCAGCTTTCCAAATTTTAGAAATAGAGTTGGAGAGAAGACTCAAATTAAAAATATGAGAATGGGCTAAGCAATACTATCTGCTGCCACCTTTAAGCGATAAGGATGAAGATTTAATTGATTTCCAGAATTTTGAGGGGTTATTTAGGTTCTCTGTAACTGACTTCAGATAAAACTCGAATTTGGACTTTCTAATCATGAAGGTACACTTGTTCTTTAGGATTCTAAACATAGTCCAATCAACAGGAGTTTGAAAATCTTGCTTGGGCCCAAAGTTTATTTCTCAAACGAAGCAATTCTGTAGGACTATCTGAGAACCAAGGATTATCCCTACCGCTGACCCTAAACTTCTCAGTAGGAACATGGTTATCAGAGATAGACAGAGAAATTGAGTGAAAATATTCCCATGCCAGTTCAACATCTGCAACGATAATAACTCTGCTAGGGTTATTGTAGTACAAGTCATGCAAGAAAGCATGCTCTTAAAAACTTTTAAAACATCTTTTAAAAATAAAACATGGTATTACCTTGGATATTTTCATATTGCTGACACAAGCAATTGCAGAATGATCACTAACATCATTGCAAAATATGCCAGTCAAGGTGTATTTATGGGATGTATTTGTTTTAATTAAATCCAGCAAGGTAGATTTATTTTGTGCCCTAGGATTTGGCCGGGTCAGTTAATTAATTAAGGAGTCACACAGTTTACACTTTAAAACAATCTGAGTTTCCTGAAAGCCAATCCCAAATGAAACGTCTATTCCTCTAAAGTGTCACGTGAAGCGACGTTCAATTCTAATGACGGCGGCAGCTGATTACAGCTAGATCAGCTGTCAGTAGACACATAATGTTATTGATAAAGATAGATACAGTTATCAGTAGCAGAGCAGCAGTGTTATCTCTGTCTAACAATCACCTGCACCTTTATATCACCTTTATAATATATACAGTGTCCTGCTCAGAGTCACAGGTGTTTATTTGATTTAGGCCTTTTCATTAATTGCATCTGTATTTATTGATATTCTGATTGTGAATTATGTCATTATTTAATAACCCAGAATATGACCATGGTGTCTCTGAACACTGGAAATAATTTATTAGGGCCAAATGTTTCAGGGAAAATTAAAATTTTGTAACTCATCAACCGGCCTCTCAGGAATGATCAGCCTCAGGTGTGACTGGAACGCAGATAACACAGATAATAAGGCCTAAAATGTGCCAGGACCGCTACTGTATTCAGAACAAAATGGTGTGATTTGTGATATTGGACTCCACAACTTTTCCACACTTTTTCACTTTGAGTTTGAAGACTTACACCTTATCATAATTGTTTGGTCAATTTTAAACACTTTTATTATGCAATTATTTTGCTGACAAACCAAAACAGAATCGATAGTAAAATTGGTGCTGTGCTGGAAACTCCTGCATACAAATATATACGCAGTGTATTGTGCTGAGGAAAAAACAAACAAACACAACTTTTAAATAAATAATCACATCCTCATATGATTTATGTATGATCAATAGTCCATGTAAACATCCAATGTTGCATTATCTTATACTGATATCAGAGCATTGGATTAAACATAATGTAACAATGATTAGCTGAGAAAAACAAATCTGGTGAAGCATAATATCCACTAGTGAAAAATATATATTTACAATCTTGCTATACTTTGTGTTTGCCAAACAAGGAAAAATGACAAAATGAAAATATACATTCATGATCAAATATTAATAACTGTAGCTGTGGCAATTAGATTCTACTTACAGTACTCAGGTTGCTGTTATGTAACAAATTCAACCTGTTTTGGTCTGTTTATTGGAGAATGTTTGGACCCAGGTAAATTGTCCATTATTGCAGTGACAGCATCTGGTTTGATTTCCCGCTCCTTGAGCTCAGCTATTCTCCTCTGCTCAGCTCCTCCTCTTCTGCACTCAGAACCACTACGTCTTTTCTCCAATGCATGTTGTCGTTCTGCTCTGCCTCTCCTCTGCTCTGAGCCACTCCTCCTCTTAAACCCCCCTGTTCTACAGTTCAACACACCCCCCCCATAATCCCCAATGGTTCCTCCCAGCCCCCAAACAATACAGTCTCTGGCAGTGGAATGAGGCTTGGTGTTATTACCTTGAACAGGGTTGCGGATGTTGCCTGAGGCTTGCATTCTCCTCAGGTGGCTGTTGGTCCTCACAGGGCTGCTGAACCTCTGAGCTTGGGATGCAGAGCTCCTGTCTGAGGAGTGCACCCGGCTCTCACTGTAGCTCCTTTTGGGGAGCGACGTGGGCCTCCTGCAATCCAGCATGGGACTCAGTCTGGACTGACGGCTGTGGTTGTAGGTGGAGCGGCAGCACGTTGTGCTACAGGTGGAGTAGCGGATACAGCAGAGAGTGCAGGCACAGCTGGAGAGCAGGGCAGAGTGACTGGCCAGAGAGGAGAGGAACGTGAGGGGGAAGGCACGTTGACACTGGAGGATGCACTTCGGAGAGCTGAGGCGTGATGAGGCAGCAGCAGGTGACACGTGGCAGCTGGAAATAATATCTGACACCGCCGACTTCCCACCCTCCTCCTGGACTGTCTGAATCTGGTGCCACTCCAGCTGCAACAGCCTCTCAAGGTACCTTTCCAAAGGGCCCACTGGCCTGGGCCGAGAGGCCCCACGGCCCTCCATGTTGTAGAAGACAGCCAGCTGACTGAGGCTCCAGGAGTTAAAAGGTGGAGGGAGGAAGTCTGGGAAGTCAAAACTACCTTGGCCGTGTCCTCTGGGCCGGTGGCTACGAGAGGAGCAGTTCTCAGCCTTGATGACCTCCGGTCTCAGCTGGAGCTGTGGAGGAACCCGACCAGACAGTGACACAGGAAGTCTCTCAGACTCAGACAAGTCAGTGTCACTGTTGCTCTCTCCTTGGCCACACAGACTTCCCACCTCTGGGTTTGGTGACAGTCTCTGCCGCAGATCAGGACTTGAATCAGACAGGCGGTGGCAGGGAAAGACTGAAGTGTGTCTGCTCCCTCTAACACCTGTGTGCTTGTGTTCCCTGTGGCTGCTGTGCTGAGCAGCTGGCTGCACCTTTGGCTCCATCCTGTCCTCTGTAGGGGACGCCGGATGGGACTTTGAGTCTGAGGTTCCCTGAGCACTAGAAATGAAAGTACATTATATCATCTCAGCATCCAGACACAGAATGGCATGACATTTGCAAAAACAGCAATCTTACCTGTGTAGAGAAGTGATACGTTTGGTCAAGGGTATGTTAGGTTTCTGCCTTCTTCTTTGCTGCAGCCTCTGGGATTACAGAGAGGCAATGTTAAGTCTACACACATTTTCTACTTATCACTAAAATTTAAAACATCAAGCACAAAATTACTTTACAGCATTAATACAGGACTTATGGCCGGTGGGCCAAATCTGGCCTGTGACAGGTTGCAAGGTGGCCTGCTAATTTAAAATTAATATAAATTTATTCACACTGGCATTCTTTTTGTACTTTGCTTGTAAGTGACAGAGTGCATAAAGAGATGTCAAAATAGAGCTTGTGTGCTTCTCTCCGGTCATGCTGCGGCTAGCGCCTCGCCGCTCCCAGCTAGCTCCGGATTGTTATTGAGGTTAAAGTGGGAGAGGCAGCGGATCTGTGGGGCAGCTGAGTGAAGTGGAGCCTGAGGAGGAAGCACCAGTTAGCCCCGGTTTTGTTCCGCTCTTTGCCATTTCATTTCGAAAATATGCGCTGCCATTGCTCACTGGCTGCGAGGGGGGTTGGATTCACATGAATGTACATGAACGCGCAGCTGGACTGGCTTGTAAACAATGGGCTGGAGATCAACACAGAGAGAGGGTGTGTGAGGTCATGCTATACTCCAGAAGAAATTACACTTCTAGTTCTTCACATAGCAATTTTTTAATTCCTTCAATCTAGAAATGATGAATTTCGCTTATTGCTCCTTTAAATTTAATAAAAGTCCTCTGCTACTTTCGTGTTTTTAATGGTTGGCGGTGGGGCAACAAATGCACAGGTTCTAAATATTGAGGGGCATGTGTCTTCAGCTGCATCCCCCCTCTCAGTCTACACCTTTGTCTATAAATTGCCCATTTTTACACCTGACCCTGTGCAAGGCTGCTGCCACTAGATTTGTCTCATGGCAAAGCTGAGTGAGAACAGCCAATGAAAGGCTGAAATCAGGCAATGAATGTAGTATATATATACTGATAAATATTATTCATGTTTCTTAGGAACTGTTCTTTATTTATCAGAGGATGGGAGTGGTTTGGGTGTGACTGTTGGTCTTTATTTTGAAGGTCCAAATATTTTTCTTTGTGCCTCCCTGAGAGACTGGGAGAAAATGCAAGTGTCCCTCCACTATGAATTATATATTAGATTCTAAGAACTTACCCTTTGATGTTTTAGCAGGTTTTAGTCAATGGCTTCATGTCAAAAACCCTGATTAGGCCTACTAATACTGGTTCTCCACAAGGTTGTGTTCTTTCTCTGTTGCTTTTTATCTTTTACACAGACAGCTACAGGTCTCTTAAAAAGAACAGTTTCCTTATTAAATTTTCAGATGACACTGCTCTGCTGTCACTCCTTCAGGGCGCAGAGTCAGACCATAGACATGCACTTCCTGACTTTGTTAAGTGGTGTGACGTCAGATTCCTTAACCTAATCGTCTTAAAAACTAAGGAACTTGTCACTGACTTTAGTAAAAATAGGACAAACACCACTGTCAATATGATTCACAGTGAAGATGTTGAGATTGTGAACTCATATAAATACTTGGGCACCGAGTTTGACTCTCAGCTTAAGTTCAATATTAACACTGAGTCAATAGTTCAACGGGCCTATCATAGGATTCACTTGTTATGGAGAATCAACTCCTTTGGGGTTTCAAAACCTATCCCGTACTGTGTACTTGTCGTACATTGAGAGCCTTCTTACCTTCTCTTTCTTCTGCTGGTTCAACAGCTTGGTAGTGAAGGACAGGAACTGTCTAAACTCCATTGTGAAAGTCTACTCCAAAATTACTAGAACCAAGATGACTGACTTGAACTCTCTTTTGGAGAAACATGTCCTCCAAAAGGCAAAATGTATTATTGACCAAGATCATGTCCTTAATAAAGAATTTGCATTAATGCCATCAGGACGACGTTATAGGCAGCCTCCCAGGAAGACCAATCGCTAAGTCATTTGTTCCTTCTGCTATCAAGCTGTTGAATGCAGTCCTGTCTTGAACTGGTTTACATTAGCAGAAGTACTTTAGCAGAATGTAATTGTTTTGTGCAATACACCCACAAGTTTTCTGAACTGAACTGAACTGAACTAAACTGAACTGAAAGTTAAAAGTTGAAGAGGAAATCCTGGAGTTGAAAAAAAGCCTTGATTTTTCACTCTTGAAGCACATGCTGGTTAGTTCATGCAAACGGTTTATTTTGGGCCAAATTTTAAATGGAATGTAGAATATAAATGATTTTAATAGAATATCACAATTTTGAGCTCTGATTTTGGTCCTGTTTCTTTCTGGCAGAAGCTTTGTTGCACAAGATATGTCCAAGGACCATCAGAAATTGGAAAATCCAATGATAACTTCTGTTCTTACAGTTTCAGGCTTTGATAAATATTGTAATTTTGGTGATTTTTTTAAAAGAAAACATGCCTTCCAAACCTGCATTTTTCTTTAAAAAATCACAGATAAAGTAAATACAAAATATAACCATTTAAATTTGTAGTTTAAAAGAAAACATGCTGGGTTTGGAAGGCATGTTGTCTTTAAAAATCAGCAGTAAACTAAAAACAAAATACAGCCTCCCCCTAAGACAAAATAAAGTAACACAACTCCCTCAGTGCCTAAAAATTCTTTGAAATAGCCACCCCTTTAAATAAGAAACAGTCCCTTATTAAAGCTACTCTTACCTTTCTTGCATTTCACACAGCACTTAAAAAAATTTGAACATTCACAACTCCCGCCTCCCTCCAAAGTCTCATTCTCCTCCTCCAGCAACTCCATCTCCCTCCAAAGGCCTACTCCTCCATTACGTCCTCATTACGTCTATGATAGATGTAGGCGTTGGCAAGTTAGATACACAGGACGAGGAGGAGGAGTAGCACTTTTAATACACAAAAACATCGAATAGGCTACAGTGAAATAGATTACAACTTATCACCAGAACAACTACAAGGAAACGAATATGTCACAATAAAAACAAAAATCCATTCACACCACCCCGTCACAGTCACCAGCGTCTATTGCCCCCCAGAACAAAACCCTCACCTGACCTGTTCACCACCATCTCCAACCCGTCACTCCCTCATCATGGGAAACTTCAATGCAAAACATATCAACTTTTACTGCAATAAAACAAACACAAGCGGCATAGCACTCCAACAGATCCTCAACAACAATAACCTGTCAATCTTCAACACCAACGAACCCACTCACATATCCCCCCTAACTGCCAACCCCGACATCCTGGACCTGATCCTCTGCACCCCCGACCTGGCTTCAAAACTCCACCAGTTCTCCACCACAAACCATCTCAACAGTGACCACCTTCTCGTTCTCACCACATTCTCCTTCCACCTACAAGCCATTCAAAGCAAGAAATACAACGACAGGACAGCAAACTGGGAAACATACAAATCACACATAGATGAACAACTGAAGGACTCCCCCACCACTCTCACCACCACCACCCATGACCTGGAACACCAAGCATCCCTATACAGTCAAACAGGGGCGTTCTTTCCACATATATGCGCCAAAGCACCCTACACCAAAGCATCAGAGAGATAGAGGCCAAAGAACAACAACAACAGAAATCGTTTCGCTGAGCCATAGTTGTAAGATTTCTCTTACCGCTGTTGTTTTGCCGTGAAACGTTAATTCGGCCACATGGTACGTTCTGATAGACTGACATGTTGTGCTGCATTTGAATGAATCTGGGCGAACCTGATGGGCTTCAGGACCCGGGGGGGGAGCATAACAATGACCGCATTCAGCAGCCGGCACCTCCCCTACAACGGCGTTCTGCTGACTCTGATTGGCTTACAGTGCTGTCAATCTCATGTTGGTGGGTATAGCATCATTCTATTGGCTCTAACAAATCAAACGAAGTGTCAGTCACTCAAATCGACCAATCCGTTGCGGAGATACGAGCCTCCAAAGCACAGAAGAGTAAATTTGCTTAGAACATGGCACTCTTAAATACTTGATTCTGACTGGTCAATCAACAAAATTCTGCGGTGTTTATTTCTTGAGGTATCACTGCTGCTCTGCTGCTCCGTTGCTAAGGACGCCATAGCAACAGCCTTACTGTGCGTTCACACCGAGCGTGAATTCGCAATTTCGCGCCTCGAGATTACAAACAAAGTCAATGCAAAGACGCGATTAGACGCGAATTTGCGCCGGGCAGCGCGATGGATGCGTCTAGCACGACGCGATGGACGCGTCAGTGACGTCTTGACGCCCTGACGTCCAGTTGTTGACACAACATACTGCTACTCACCGGAGACAGATGGACAGGCACTCCGCAGCTGAAATGGAGCGCCTGTAGCTGGTGTCCTGCCGGGAGATCCTGGCGCCAACCCTCACCAACAGGTCCTCAAACTGGGCCCCAGTAAGCCTGAAGTACCACTGAAAGCGGCTATCATCCAGACGGAGTTCCTGGAGGAGGTGGTGAAACTCGACGAGCTTGATGTGCTTCTGCAGGAACGACAGCGTTCTGGGACTTCCAGAGCAGGTACAAAGCAGCGATGGTGGTTATCTCAGCCATGGTTGAGGAGAGAATGGCGGGCCAGATGTTGTTATCTAGTGAAAATGGGCGGGCTTGCTACTTGCGCGACTGACGCGATAACGCGAATTAACAAAATGGTCCAGCGTCCAAACTCACGCGTTACGCACGGCGCGTTACATGTGTTACGCGCGAGTAATTCGCTTCACTTGCGCCCGGTGTGAACGCACAGTTAGACTGAGGAGCATCAAAATCAGTTAACGTTCGTCCACACAGGCCAAATAGGATCGGAGTGGCAAAATGCAGCATTTTCAGGACATCACTTTTAACATTTTTGGAGCGGACAAAACGCTTGATGTTTGGCTAAAAAATGACAGGTCCCCAGCAAAAACAAAAAGAAAGGAAGAGAAAATCGCAGGGCCGTCAGGAGCAAACCAGCACAGACAACTAGAAGAAGTAAATAGTAAGCCATGTTCTAAGCGGGATAATTGAACATGACTGGGAATGGACGCTGCGCGTCAGGGTGTCATTCTCCTGTCGGGAGTTATTTTTCAACAGTCACCGGC